ATGATTTACCTTCAAGATATTCTTGTGGTAGCAATTAAATTACATATTACACTTTTCGAGCTTGCATAAATGTTCCTTGAAAGAAATCTTGATATGAGAATCGAGACGAGACGTATTCTACTCGGTTTCTCTCCTTCATTCTCCGTGCTCCCGATTTCTTCATTCTCCTTCTGCTTTTGTTTTTCGCTTATTCCGCGTCGGCGTTGACACGATACGTGGTGTGTAACGTAAGAGAAGAAAACGGAAAAACGACGCCTGCGGTCGGCCGGATCTAGTTCAGAAACGAGATACGCCTGAGAGACCTGACGTAAACAAACAGTAACGTGCCGCGTCTCCGTAGACGATAGACTAGTACGTGATCAGCGCTCGATACCTGCTTATCGATCACCTCCAATCAGCATGTAAGTACTCAACAAATCATTTTGTACACATTCTTATACTGGTCGCTTCTATGAAACATTCTCGAGACAGATAAGAATTTCCGCTTGTATCCTTTTCAAACTCTTCTCACATAAGATATTAAGATTAAAAGATCATTTATTTCTTACAAGATATCATTAATGTTTGTGAATTTTTTATTAAATTCTTGCCTGTACTCAATTTTATTTTTTCGTTTTTCACATATAAGGAAGACAGTTTGAAGAAAACAATTATGAATGATTTTCTACATTATTATAACCAAAACTGAGAACGACAGAATTTCAGAGCCGTATCTCATCTACGCAGACTAAAAATAAAGTATATAATACAAATCCTCAAATTTACTTCGCTTACGTAAATTTTAAACTTTCTTTTTCTTATTAAAACGTTCCGCTATGGTGGTATATCGAGGCATTCTGTTTGAATAAAAAAACTTTTATTTTTTATATTTTTGTCTCTCTGCAAAAGTCTTAATACACTCTTTGCCGCTCATATTTCCTTTTTATTTCATCTTGATATTTGATGTTATACCACAGAGGGATAATCACGTTCGTACGCATACAATATACAAATGTGCACGGAATTCGGATTCACTTCACAAGCTTAGGGTCAATATGCCTTTCCAATATGCCGGGCAACACCTGCGTTGGAAAATGTGCGTTTTACGTGCGCATCTGCCCCAATGCGATCCACTGGCCCATTTCCAGCTGTACTGCGTGCTCCGGAAGTGCGGCACTCGCATCGATTAATTATAAATTATGCGGCATGTACTACGTCTCTCCCTCAGAGCCTACTCTTTTTATCGACACCCCTTGATTCAAATCGAGTGACTGTAAACTCACCGAAAAATATGAGATAGTAGCACTTTACCCCCTTTAATAAGGCAACTTTGAAAGTCATTCGACGAAGAGTTAACAATTTTAGAAAATTAATTTCAAATATTTCAAATATTTCAAATATTTCAAATAATTTATTATTTTATTTATTGTTCTGCAGATTCAACAAAATTTTATTTAATTTTGGCTCTAATATTTTTAATATTTTTTAATCGTAATTTTTTATAATAATTTCGATAATAATTTACGAATAATTCAGTAGATATTAAAGTAAGTTCAAAGAGAATAATTATTATATCAAATATATTTAATGTGTTGCAAACAAAAGAAATCTACATTTTAAATGTTATAAACACATGCAGATGATAGTGCAGTTGGCCTTAACACTAAGGCCACACTATGAAAACACCTGTCTCGCATTTCGTTAAAAATCACTCGAAGACTATGAAAAGATAAACTCATGTTGCCTGAACAAAAGGCAGGGATTTATTACGATATGATTGCATAATGCGAATGTAACTGTGCAATAAACAATTATCATTCTAAAAAATTTTAATTTTTGTTGTAGACACGAGCCAAAGCAAGTACAAACTTAATATGTTAGTCTGATTAAGACCATGTGCACAGTGGAAAATAAGACCAGGAATAAATATTACATTTTGGAAATGAAAATTCGGAATAGAGATTAATTTATTCAATTTATATCGATTAATATTTATTCTTATTTTTAATATTTCCATTAGCGCAGAGCCTGAGATGATATCTAAGATGTCATTTATTAATTATTTCTAAATAATAAAACTCGAATCTATTATTATGAAATTTCTTTTATATCTTTCTATCTTTTGAAGAAAACTGCGATGAAAAAGTTTGCCTAGATTGCATGATATTTCTATGTTTATCATTTTTCCATATTCTGTACCAAATTGTATAATTACAGTTTTCATGAAAATTACGATTAGATATTCAATGTCGAAGGATGAACAAAGACAAAACCGATGTTTGGTATATGCGGGAAAGGGAGAAGATCGAAAACGGATATAAAGAGGAACGAGGATGGAAGACTGCAATAAGCAGAGAGGGTAGTGACAATTTATACTTGGCGTAAAGAATACAGCCGATATTTAGTATCCCGTTGCGTTATTACGCTCGAAGTACTCTGGAGTAAGAGGGAAACGAGGTCCGGATATGACTGAGGGCGCGGGAGGGATGGGAGGGGGATACAAGGTGTAGACTTACTTTGGACTTGGGTGTGGGATTACCGTACTTATATTCAACTCTAATATTAAGTTACCACTTTGCTTTACGGCAAGTGAACAGGCCGCCTGCATATAGGAAGCCATCTGAGCGCTCCTGGGACAGTCTGTCCCATTCGTCTGGGCCCACCTACGAATAACAACATTCGTCCGTTTCGGAGAAAGTTTCGTGCTATTTCAACGGGTGTTGGTCCTCCTCACGCCTCCTCCCTCCTGTGTCTTTTTTCGAAGTATCCGGGCGAACTTCTTTGGCTATCGATTGTACGCCTCGACCGTAAAGAAATCTTGGCAAAAAGAAACAATTTCACCTATCCGCTTTTTCCTATATTCCCCGTTGCATCCCCGTTTGTTCATGTTTATCTCGAAAGATAGCTAAGATTATCCTTTTTATTTTGATCAAAATCGCATAAATGTGGAAAACGTGACAAAAGGTATGTATAGCACTGCAGGATTTCGTTCAAAGAAAATTGACGTGAACATTCCATCTTCGGACATTTCAAATCGGATTTTTCATCTTCTAAAAGTTGTTCAATGTGGAGTCATATTTATATGCGAATCTCTATTGTCTGTATGATTTATCGATTTAAATATATATATATATATATATATATATATATATATATATATATA